TAGTTTATTGAATGAAGAGCATAACCGCTATCCCGTTCTTGAAAATGTTCTAATTTTTTGAAAATTTTCGTAAGCACATGATCGTTGAACCAAACGCGTAGGTCTGTACTCAAATCTATCTGTTCATTTCTCGTAGAAAAATATTTTAAATCGTATACTTCCTCCTCACCACTCTTCTTCACAAATTCCCCACAAAATATCGCATTACATTTGATAGTTCTAATAGTTCTCAAAATATTACGAATTCGTCTCTTGAATAGAAAAAAAGCATCATCAAAAAACATATTTAAATCTTTATGGGTCAAGTTTATAATTACACCCGTTCTAACCCTCGATTTGAAAGCGCTCTTCAATTCGCTCCAAGTAACACGTTTACTTCTAACATTTATTTTTTTACTACTACTTGCTCGGGAAGCAATAATCGAAATTAACTTTCTTCTACAAAAATGTAAATTCGTAATACTAGCCTGAAGTTTATTCATTGAAGCTTGAACAAGATTTTTGCGAAGAATTATTTTATTTAAGAGTCGTATTTGTTTTTGAATTAGTTTTAACCATTGGATTTGAGTTTCACTGGATTTCATGAAAGATAATAGACTAATAGCTTTACGAAATAATGTATCAGAATCATTCAGTATAACCCCCATGTTCTTCAAATCTCCACTATCTCGAACTTGGTTGAGGGTGAGAAGTGGCCAATCTCCTGAATCCCTAGAGATCTAAACCCGTATTTGGCGGGAGTGAAGTTGGCTATGAGTGACCGGAAAACTTCCGTTACTCTTCTTGGTAAGAAGACCTTGAAATCCTCCGTTTCCACTAGTATTGACTCCCCATAATGACCATTTATAATTTTCAACTTGAGAATGGGGTAAACAACACCTATTGGCAGATCCTTCAATTTTTCTAATGGTTTAGCATCCACCTTAGAACATACAGCGTTAATTTCCTGAAGATTCATGTTTTCTATAAGAAATTGAGTTTGAAAATATTCATGAATAAAAAAATTAGTTTCTTACCTGAACTTTGGAAAGTGTAATTGATAACCAATTAGTTGAACTCAAAATTTCTAACTGACTATCGCAACTCAATTATCATCGAATATATATCCTAGCGAATATATATATATTTTTTTTCGTTTAATTGTATAGTTGAGCTGATAAGTTAAATATGCTCCTCCTAATGAGTTTATTAGCTGATTTTTTCTTGGAAAGTATGGATTGTTGAAGATAATCAAACATATATTGTTCGTTTAATTGGATCGTTAAGCTGATAAAATTTGTCATTAATATAATTTGATCAATTAGATATGCTCATCCTCTGTTACAATGTTTTTCGATAAAATATTTTTTAGTAGGAGCTGAAGTTGGTGTAAAATTCCAATATTTTGACAGGGAATATCGATAATTGTTTCCAAATTATTCTCGTGGATGCTTATTACTTTTCCTAAGAATTCATCAAACTCATATACTTTTTTATTCTTGAAGAAGTAAATTTTCCCATTTGTATATCTGAATACGTGATCTATTCTCTGAGGAATTCCAGGAAACACATGATCGATCAGTTTAATAGATTTATACCTGCCTGCACATTCATCATATTCCACACATAAATTGTTATTGAAGATTATATAAGTTTTCCCAGTATATGTATTCACAACACCTTGTATGATGATATTTTTTGGAAGCCCCATGTTTTCAATTGGCTGTTCATATTGAACTTTGAAATTTGTAGAATCAATCAAGTAATATTTAGTTTTGTGAAATAATATTATTTCACCAGAAGGACGTTGATATATATGACCACCATCATGAAAATTTAGTTCGGGGATACCTATGTAATCTTTCAACCTCATGGGTGGTTCAATACGTTTTTTATTTAGTGATATCACCCAAACCCAATCCTTGTAGAATAAATATAAATGATTGTTCACCACGAGAATTCTATCGATGTTGTTATTTACAGAGCATAAATTAGGGGGATTTAAGCTGATAACATCAGTAGTAGTAGTAGTAGTAGTTGGCGTTCTCATTGTTGGTGAATTCAACACCTTCTTATTTCTTACGTTGAATCGTTTAGGTTTACCATATAGAGATTGTATGGCATAAATATCATCCTGTTCCAACTCTAATTTACTTCTAGAATCATTGTAAAAGGAGTACATGACGGAAGGATTGGCGCTCGAGTGGAATAATCCTAAACTGTGACCAATTTCATGAAGAAGAGTCTGATATAACGATGTATATCCATAGGGTATTGACTTATTCGTTATATTTCGATCCCATCTCTCATCTATATCTAAATGAATTTCGTAACAAGGCTCCGCACCCTCATTTACACCGTCAGGATAATGAGAGTGTCCCAATACCAACCCTCTACCATCAAAATCATATGGACACTTGGATATTCCCATACATCTCTTACTATATTTATGATACCTTCTACCGTACGAAATTAAAATATTCGGTGAAGTTTCATTACGATAAAATGATAAATTAGTATGTCGAGCCCATTCTTCGAAACATTTTTGCGCCACTTTCTGATCTAACCATGATCCCAATAAAAATTTCCATCTTATTTTATTGTGTTTCCATTTTACTCTATCTCTATAGATCGTGAATTTTTCAGGGTGATCCTGCACTCCACATCTCGGTTTCTTCATCAACTGGATTGTTTCATTATTTAAAATACCATCACCGGTAATATCGTAAAAATCTTGAAACTTCAAAATGGCCTGGCTTAGGATATCATCTTTATAATTTTTTTCTTGTAAAGATGTAATAGTATAATTTTCTGAAAGGTATCCATATTGCTTCAAATATTTCGCTGCTGACAGTAAATCGAATTCGTGATTCTCATCATTCACATCTTCAATTTCTTCTTCATAATCTAATTGAGTCAAACTAAGTGCTCCACCCAACACACACAAACATATAATAATCCTCATTGCACGAATGATTGATATTCAATAATTGAATTATAACTGATTTCAACTATTTATACTCAATTTGAAGTTTAACATTCAATTTTGCACACAAAAAAATCTCTCTCTCTCTATTTTATTCGAACACCCTGTAAGTCATATTTCGAGCGGTTGTACCTAATAAAAAATTATTTTATCTATGTTTTTTTCCCTGCACGGAATAATGAACGCCAATTACTATAACGAAGCGATAAGCACATTCCCCGTTAATTATGATAACGAGTGAAAATAAACTACTAATTGCTCATCAATAGTAAAAAATACCTATTTCGCACCTTTGGATTCATCAAATCAAAGCATCATCGCACTCCCCTATTCTTCACGAACACGTACAAACTCGAATTACGACTATATCTCTACCCCATCACGAACTATCAAAACTACCCTTCTTCACGGACACAGGGGTCGCACAGAATTCAAATCCACACGCCAATCATCTATCGATACTCACAACTCTCACCTGTCAAAATCTGAAAACTACACCTCAACCCATATCAAAGTTTCACAAAAATTATGCCTAATTGATTATTTTAACATGGGAACTCCATGCGCCAGAACCCGCATACCCCTTTTCAACGTACACCCCACACTTTTACGTCTTCGATCACACCATCCCCCGTTAAGACTACCACATCCCCCCATCCCGCCGCCACTCCCCCGCCCCCCGTGTCCACATTCTCACCTCCACGGCCCATTTACTACACATTCCTTCATCTTTTTTTTCACGCTCTTCTCTTTCACCTATGAGGTTCTTTCATCACTCTACTTCTTCAGTACTACCCTCTTTACAATACCTATTTTTTTTACCACCCTCTTACTGCGGATGGACAAGTTATAGGGGGTAGTGCGCCAGAATCCGCTTTGTTCATACTACTTATATACTATACTAGAATCTACAAAACAATGTGAAAACTTATATCAAAGTGATCTTCACAAAAATAAAGGACAGTACTGGACAATATTGCATTTGAATCTCGCCTTGCAAGTTGAAGCCACTTGTTTTGTGTTTTATTTTTAGGAACGAACACAAATAACTTATTAGGAGTTTTTATGGATGTGTTATCACACTGGGGGGCCCCACACCACTTATACACTTTCGAATTCAGATTTAATAACACAAAATAATCAAATTATTGCACGAGCTCAGCGTCTAGTGTTTATCATCTACATCTGATGAAGCAACTGTGCTGGCGAAACGATATTGTCATGTTTTGAATTAATTATAGTGAAAATCGAAAAACCACTTAGTTTTATTTAAATTATGCCTAGTGTTTAGCTTACCAAGAGGTGACGTCACAAGCGCCGCCATGACACTGACAAGTGTTTTAGGTAAACAAGTTAATTTATATTTTAAAATTGCATTTTTTTCCTACTGAACTCTTAATTCCTACAGAAATATCTTATTTATTGTAAATAGTATATATTTGTGGGTATTATAGGCCCGTTTTTCAAAAACTGCCATCATGTCTATTGTAATGAATAAATGAGTTTTTAAACACTTCACCAGACCGATTATTCCCTTTAATTAAATTCTACAAAGTGTCATCCTTCTATGGAAATACGCACTAATCTTGTCTCTCTATCATATTGGAGACCCAATCAATTTCATCGTTTTTCTTCGATAGAGCACGTCGCGGAGTAGTTATGTCACTGATTGTATTATGCGTTTTGAAATGATATTGGTTTGGTGCTTTTGAAAAAACCTGGAAACTCTATTGTTTGGATGCATGCCACTGATGATTTCAATACTAGGATGAAACAGAGCTGTATGGTATTTCCAACGAATTTGATGTTCTTCGGAACGCACCAAATATTCATTCCGGAATGTAAAATTATTGTTTTCGTAGACAATATTTGTGCATACAGCTCACTGGGAGTTTTATCCAGATTTTTTCGATACTTTGAAATGAAAATTTCAAAAATATATATGTATATATAATACATTATAAATAATGTATTAATATTTTTATAGTGAAAACTGAGAATTGAAATTAAAAATTGAAATGAATTTCAAAAGTTTTGAACTCGATTGGGATTCGAACCCAGGTCTTCAGGTTTACCCCCCACTGCTTTGGACCGCTAAGCTATCGAGGTCTACACTTTGAGATGTTACTTCAATTCATATCTAACAACTTGTTTATTCGTTAAGCTAGTTATTCGACACTCGGATTGTCGTCTTCGATACTTGCGATAATACGTCATTCATGTCCGCACGTGGTTGGTCAAAACGAAAAATTACTGTAGGGGGAGTCCGGGAGAGTTTAGCAGGGGGGAGACAATAGCCACTGATCATAGAATCTCTATATAACTAGATATTGCGACGTTGTCATACTTCTTACAACTCACAGGTGCCTCCCACTTTGCTCACGCGGCGATGTTGCTATCGGAAAATTCGTTTTAGAGTTACAAGTGAAAACACGTTTTTGTGCCCGGTAAGTGACTTTTTTCGATTTTCGATATTTGATTGCTGTTGCTTACTGTTTATAGATTCCAGCATGCCATGAATATATATCCTTAGTGTAATTATCCTTATAACCTTTAGGACAGACAGTTTTTATTTGAAGATTATAGTTTTTTTTGTAAATTGAATAACGGACAGCTTGGTGTGGGGTGGGAGACATTACCATGGCGACGGGAGGAGACTTTACCCAGGGTAATCTCTCCCTCTGTTTCTCTTACATTAATATTTTTTGTTTTATTTCAGATACACACAATGCCCTTCGAATATGAAGAAAAGAAACGACAAGAAACAGAAGCAATTTAGATCTGTTAGTAATAAGAAATGCTGTAAATGTCATTGATAACGGCAAGTCTATTAGAGCTACTGTTTTATAATACCTAGATCGAAACACTTTACTTATTATTTAAGAAACACGACTAAATGGTCAACAATAAGTGAACCGTGAAGATAGTTTGAGACAGCTTTGTTATTAATGATGAGGATGAGAAAGCACTTACTGAATATGTTTTAACTTGCAGAAAAATGAATTAGAGCCTAATCAGACAGGCGGCTATGAAGCAGGCGTATGAATATGCAACTATTAATTCCAAAAAGGTTCCAGATTCATGGACTTCTAACAACTGCGCAGAGAAAGATTTGTTCAGAGGATTTATGAAGAGAAACCCTGAACTGAGTTTGAGAACCCCAAAAACAACCACTTTATACAGATCCACCAGCTTCAACAGAAAAAACGTTACCTACTGATTTCTTCGAAAACCTCAAGATTGTTAGAGAAAATATCAAATTAAAGCTCATAATATCTACAATTGTGATGAAACAGGGTGTACGACGGTCCAAGAGTGTCCTAAAGTTTTAGCGAGCAAGCATGTGCGTCAAGTAGGTCAAGTTACTTCACCTGAACGTGGCAGTCTTGTGACCGGCTGTTGCGCAAGCAAAGAAAAAGACAGTAAAAAGACAAGTTTTACAGTCAAGTGACAGTGAGACAGGACAGACCCTGAAGACAAACCCAAGTATGATGATAGCTCTGATAGTCCATGGAATGAAGAACCAGATGTTATTGATAAAAATTTGTTAGTGTTTCATCTGTGGGGAAAACAAAGTTATGGAAGTTATCTCATTTACTACTTATTATTATGTGCCATGTTTTTTTGATTGAATTTCTTTATTTAATTATAATTTGTTATTTTTTCGCCCTAGTTTCAAACTCGGGTAAAGTCTCCCTTCTTGGGGGGTCAACTCTCCCACCCAGGCGGGAGATATTAGCCAAATCTCACTTCGGCAGAAATCGTCAATTACTCATAAAGGATGAATGATTTATAAAACTTTCCTAAGAAAAAATAAAGTTTAATAATGCATCTTAGGGTTCAATTTGTAGAAAATAGTTTTTTGTAAATATAAAGCGATTTATGAGCATTTTAGTCGAAGGCGGGTAAACTCTCCCGGACTCCCCTACTATATATATATATATATATATATATATATATATATATATATATATATATATATACTAGTAAATACTGAGTTCTTTCGAGAGTGAATATTAAGAGCGTTTCGAAATGTTCATCGATCTTGTTGAATTTGGTCTTTAATTACCTGTGAATCTTGAATTAGCTATACTATTGCCCGAATGGGTGTCATATGGTGCAATTAGGCATGGAATTATTCGTACATATTGCGGAAAAATTTTCCGTAGTTTCGAATGAAATATCTACAAAGCCTTCCACTTTAACTCTTGTTGTCATGAGTAGGAATCTTGAACGCCAGGGAGAGTTTATACGTTCTTTCACCGATAGAGGGAGCCTACGTGAATATTCCACTAGGGAAAATTGTCCTCAATTTGGTATAGGACCTATGTTCGTTTTTAAAGCCATCGATTCTTGATTGATAGATTAAATATGGACTGATGATTCATAATAATGATGAAACAATTGTATCCTATTATCATTCAACAAGATCGATGAATATTTCGAAACGCTCTTAATATTCACTCTCGAAAGTGATGGGTACACATTGACAACATTTGTGTAAACAGCTCCCTGAGAGTTTTATTTGAAATATTTCGATTAAGAATCTCGGTATTTAATTATACCTGTGAATCTTGAAATATATATATATATATATATATATATATATATATATATATATATATATAGAACAGTAATTTAATCGTGTTAACCAACCACGTGCGGACATGAATAATTCGAATCCCAGTCGAGTTCAAAACTTTTGAAATGTAATTTCAATTCTCAATATTCACTGTAAAATATTAATACAATTATATATATATATATATATATATATATATATATATATATATATATATATATATATATATATATATATATATATATATATATATATATATATATATATATATATATTGCATCAGTTATTGAATTGCTTCAGTATATGTGTTTGTTTTAATTGTATTTGTTGTCATTATTTCGATAGTTTAAGTTTTCAAAGTAAGTAATTCTATTTTGGTGATACAACGAATTGAATCGTTGACTAAAAAAAAATATTTTTTGAAAATCAAACTAACTGAAAAGTGAATGGGGGATGTGTGGTGATAAAAAGCATACAGTTCGTGGTTGTGTTCTGAAACAGTTTACTGATATGAGTTTCAATGAATTCACATCAGTAAACGTTGAAGTTGATCTGGTTGGGTGGTAGGAAATATGCTTTTTCAATTCCTCACCCCAAACTGCCAAGTATTTGAGCTATATTAAATCGGTATACTTTGAAGAGGCTCGAATTTTGGGGGATATGCAATATCTTTCCTGCCACTCAGCATCATAAGATCGCTTATACTGTCGATTTTTGAAGTCGATGTAAAATTCAATGTAATATAAGTAAATGTATCTCTTAAATTTTAGCTGTGAAAAAGTAACGTATGTTTTTCAATAAAGTAGATTATTAATTATATTTTGTTAGTTAAATTTTCACCAATATTCTCCCGAATGATATGAATAAGTACATATAAAATTCAAAGAAAAGTAAAAAAAAATTTACTTTCATATCTGTTACGGCAAATTCCATTGAAATTATAATCTTATTTCAGTAAAAGCCTGGTGAAATACGGATTTGGTTTTACCCGTAATACCCCAAATGTAGTAGTAATAAAATTAAGTAGTAATAATAATCCTAAAATGTGTTAAGTATAATCTCAGTAATAAAACAATTGTTAAACTGATTTACACATATATTTGAAGTGATTCTAACAAATTAAGCTTCATTCCCATGTTTGCGGTATTCAAAATTTCAAAATCGGAATTGAGTATATGATTTTCATTAATCAAATGATTTGCATAATGAGAATCTGTCTTCTGATTATAAAAGCTACGTTTATGTTCCGAAATTCTTATTTGAAAACTTCTAAACGTTCTACCAATATATATAAAACTTGGTATATCACAACTACCACAGTTAATTTTATATACACCTGATTTTTTATTTTTGTTGACCTTAGATTTGTTATTTTTGATATGTTTTCCTAAGTTATTTCCAGTACGGTAAGCAATGTGGATGTTATACTTAAAAAGAAGAGATTTGAGTTTTTCACTGGACTTACCGATATACCTATGTAAGACTGTTATAGTTGATATTGTTTTTGACTAGGGGATAAACCAAACCAATCGCCTTTTTGAAGTTTTTCTTTAATATCATATTATCTATTATTTCAGGATTATAATTATTATTCACGGCTATTTGCTTGATTAAATTTTTCTCGGTGTTGAAATTGGTTCTAGAAAGAGGAATATTTACTAATCGATGTATCAAACTATTGAAAACTGCCATTTTGTGTTGAAATGGATGCATGGAAGTATTATGTATAATACTAAAATTGTAAAAAAAAGTAAAAGTACTGTGGAAAATTGAAAAACTATGTTTGTTATCCAGTTTCATTATTTTGAGATCTAAAAAATTAATAGAGTTTTCTTTCTCAAGTTCCAAAGTGAATGTAATTTTAGGGTGTAACGAATTAATGAATGTCTGAAAAGTGTCGAGTTGCCGAAGAGTACCAGTGAGTAAGTATTATTTTTAATATATGTGTAAATCAGTTTAACAATTGTTTTATTATGTTTATCGATTTACATGAACTATCGGCCTCATCAATTATCAATTTTAATATGTACATCAAACGTGTTAAAAACTATAGAAGTTATTTTATAATCCGACTGATTTGAAATAACAGGAGGTATTGCAGTCTCTTCGTAAGTAAGTGCCTGGTTCCACACGGGCGGCAAATTGAGCGACTTCTCCCGTAAGTCAAGACATTTCAAGACTTGAAAATGAGCTCACGCTCGAAACATGTTGACAAATTCACGTTGTTGAATATAATCGTGAAATATTAAGCCAAGAGTTTAATTTAATTCAATATTTAATTATATTTCATCAAGAGTTAAGCGATAATTCAATAAAGCGATAATTTGGTAGTGAACGATGCAGCAAATGTTACATATGAAACTGTGAATTTCTTTGATATAATTCAAGAAATTTACGTTTTTTTTTCATCATCTACAAAAAGGTGGTGAAAAGATTCCAAAGTGGCTCACGAACTCAACGCAGAAACAGATTTCCCTCCAATAAATACAATCCGTTTAAGAAGAAAATCAACACAATTTAACTATGAA